AAAGGGATGGTGGTGGGTCTTCTGCTAAGAAAACTTGCCTGGGTTCAGTTGCCTGGTTACTAATAGCCCCTTTTTGGGCAAAATGCTCAAGCAGGTGGTTCCTGTAGAATTCCAGGTGTTTTTGGATGCAATTTAATATTTAAAACTCTCCCAGTTCTCTTGGATCTTGGAGTGATGTTTAATGTCAGCCATAGAGTCTTTCTGGATAGGCTGTCTGTTCTTGGAGTTGGAGGCACACAAATCAGCTTAGGCGGGTGCATTGGCTTCATCCTCTGCTCTTGTCATGCCTTCCAAGATTCAGTCCTTCTCAGAAGAGGACCAGGAGGGTCTAGATCAGCCAGTGGAGGCAGGGCAGGTACAGCAGCAAAAGGAGGGCTAATGAAATATGCAGCTGCCCAGAGAAAACTCATGTCTTCAGGTGCTGGAAACCAGATGCATAGTCAGCTAGTGCCATCTGTGGAGGTCTCCAACACCTGTGATTGGTGTAGCTGCAGTTGTGGTAGAGAGGCGCTGGAGTGAAGAACTATAAAATGCCTTCCCAGTCAAATCTGCTTTGCTGGAAATAACAAGGATTATTCATGGCGCTCCTGGTTCCAGACATCTTTGCTTTTGAGTCATTGAGCCGTGATCTGGCTTGTCTTTGACCCTGTCCATTTTTCACTCTCCCATAAGTGACTGCCTTTTGGTTTTTGTACTTGATTTTGATTCTTCAACTACTCTCTCTGAGGGACATGTAAACGCTCAGCCTTTTCAACATTTCTGTTTTTCAAGCTATAAGTGGCCTTGAATAGCATTGTTGGCAGTCCACTTGGCTAATTTTAACTGGTCTAGAACTAGCCTGGCTACAGTAGCCCATACTCTGGTAACACCTGAGATTGACTACTGTAGTGTATTTTACGCAAGACTGTCTTTGTAGACTGGGGTGTCCAACTTTGGTAAGACCAGGAGACAATTTCTCTGCTTCTATGATCATCCATGGGCTGTAGAGAGGCCAGAAATGCCAATAATAAAAATAAAAAATAAAAATAAAATAAGCAGCAATAAAGTTGAAATAGCTAGAAGTCTATTATCAGTTTTGAAAAATGAGTAATTTGTGTGTGTTCAGTGGTGTTCAGTGGTGCAGGGAGCAATCTATTTAAAAAGTGAGGTTTTTAGGAGGAACAGCTCGCTGTCTTCTGGGACTTGGCTTTTTTTTTAGACAGAAGTCTATGGGTGCAAAAATAGGCTTGAATAGGCCCACTTTGTTCACACAATTGTAGATAGTTAACAAACTTCATTTGGTTATAACAAACACCAACCAGGCTGTGATGGTCTGACTTTGATGGGCTGGTTGAGGAAACACATTATGGCAGCATTGAAAGAGCTGCACTTGCTTTATCTGTGTTTCTAAGTAGTATTCAAAGAACAGGTACTTTCGTTAAAGCTTCAAATAGCTTTGCATCCAAGTATTGGAAGTACTGTATCTCCATTTTCAGCTCACTTAAACAGTGAAAAAATATTTTGAAGCTCTCCTTCAGCCTCCTCCTGAGATAATGAAAGCAGCGATCACCTGCCTTTCTCAGTATTTCTACCCTGCCTGTAGAATTTCCTCCTAATAAATCATGACACAGAAAGTATTTCCATTGCTTGGGTTTTACTTGGTTCTTACTTTTACTTCCTCAGCTTTAGAATGTATCATAATGTATTGAGACTTTTAGAAAAATTGCACACTTGAATTATACACACCTTCTTTTTATTTTATTATATTTGTATTGTATTTTTCCCCTGATTCTGTAAATCATCCCAAAAGGAACTTTGAAGAATTTTTGTTTTTAAATACATAAATATTTGAGCGACAATGAATAATATACCCAGATGGCCCCTTCATGCAAAACTCAGTTTAGTGATTTACTAATCCAGTACAGTTGCATTGACCTACATAGATAACCGTAGGAGCAGGTATAGCTCAGTAGTAGAGCATATACAGTGTCTTCTACATACTGTAGAACATCCCAGTTTCAATCTCTAGGTAGAATGAGGAAAGAGACCTGCCCAGAACCTGGCAGCCCTGCTGCCACTTATTCTTGGCTGAGCTTGAAGGATCAGTGATCAGGCATAGTATGTTTGTTTTGGTGTATCTTCATAGGCAGGCAAATATTTTTTATTTTACTTATTCTGTTTATATATTTCCTTTCCCCCCATAGGTGTGTTATTATTAATAGAACATCTTCTACGTCTTGGCTCAGTTTTGTGCCACACCAGGTTTAATAGGATTTCTTTGGGGTGTATTTCATAGAAAAAGGAAGATTGTGTTGGCAATTAACTTTCAATACTTATTGATAATGGCATCCAAAGAGGTAACAGAGGTAGGCTCTGTAAGCATTACCTATCTGTTTGAAACAACAACTTAGCATGCTGTATTTACCTGTTCACCACTGATGTGCAGTTCAAGCATGCCAACATCTAATTAAAGAAGAATACCTGTACAGATGATCATACTTTTTTTTTTTGCCTTCTCTTGACTCCCCTTTGCATGATCAGCGGTGCAACTGGCCATAAACGTAATTTTACAACCAGTGCAAGATATGGTAGGTGAATTTAAGCCTGAAGGAGGGTGGAGAATGCTCACATGATCAACACCATATCATTAGACAACATCATTTCTGTTCATTAAGCTCTGTACATGGTAGCTACAGTGGGGTCTCTACTTAAGAACTTAATCCGTATTGGAGGGTGGTTCTCAAGTTGAAAAGTTCTTATGTTGAATCTGCATTTCCCATAGGAATGCATTGAAAACCATTTAATCCGTATCTGCTCTTTTCCGTCCATAGAAACTACAGTGGAACCTCTACTTAAGAACTTAATCCGTTTTGGAATGATGTTCTTAAGTTGAAACGTTCTTAAGTTGACGCAAAATTTCCCATAGGAATGGACTGAAAACCAATTAATCCGTTCTGGATGTTTTTTGTTATGTAGAGGTGCGCTCGTACATTGAAGCATTAGTTCCCATAGGAACTAATGCAAAGCTGGTTAATATGTACTCTACCACTAGGGGGAGATTTTTTTTTTAACCTAAGATGACCTAAGGTTAAAAAAAGAGCAGGAAAGGTTTTTTTTCCTGTTCTTATCTTGGATTTCTGTTCTCAAGTAGAAGCAAAATTTAGCAAATGGAGCTGTTCTTAAGTTGGATTGTTCTTAAGTAGGGACGTTCTTAAGTAGAGACCCCACTGTATTGGAAAAACTACCAGTCTCACAGCTCTTTGTAGTTTCCGTAGGGCTTGGCAAGTTCTAATTTCCTTTTGCAGTGACTGCAGAAAAGAATATGCTGGGCCTCAGATATGTTTGTTGAAACTCTTCTAGGGACTTTTTTTTCTTTTGCTAGGGGTGCCAGAATTCTGCCTGGGTGAATTCCTGGTAGTTGTAATAAAAAAAAAATCCAAGCCTTCACTTTAGCCTGTTGAGAGCTAATTTCTCTGTACATTCCCAAAAGGGACTTTCATATCTTAAGATATGTGCCAGAGTTGCTATGTACAGCTATATGTAGGCAAAGAATCTCAGAATCAAACTCAGTGCCATTCTATATCCCCTCCTCCTGCCCGCAGCATAACGGCACATAAAGATCACATTATGAACATTGTATAAAATGTGCTGGAAAATCATTCTTTTACTATTCTCCCCCCCCCCAATACTACTACCAACACAAGCAATTTCCTATCCTTTTGTCATCAAAATCAGCACAGACCATCTGCAAAAAGATATATAGTGTTAATGTTATTAGATCTGTTGAGATATTTTCTGATTTTAACTATCAAATCTACTTCCTACCCCAACCCCAATTTCTGCTTATATGCAATTTGCCCAATTTACCATTAGCACAAAGCTGTAACTACAGCTCTGTAAGAACTCAGAGGTTGTTCTGCATGGATCACTTGAATTTTCATGACACGGGTTGAGTGTACTTGTTCAGCATGTTCAACTTATTTTCCAGGTTTCTGTATCTCAATGTTTCACATCCTCTGGTGGAAGATGTTAGGTAAAGATGCAAAAGGTTCTGTAGATATTTAAAATCCTTGGCTCCATCGTGCAGGTCATAAGAGTTTAAGCTGTGAATTGAGAACTGATCTTAGCAAATCATTAATTTTTGAAAATGTTACCTAGGAGCAAACAGTGTTAAGGTACAATTGTAGTCTGTTTATGAATGGTGTAATATTTTACCTTCTGGAGAATTGTGTGTATTCCATCCATTTAATTTTCTATGTGAAGCATTTAAAACTAGAGTATAGATTAGGAACCCTCTCTGAAGAGGCAGAAACCATGCAAGAAATTCTGAAATTCAGAAGTTATTTGATCGAATTGAAACACATGATTGTTTGCAAGTTTGATGTCATTGTTAGTGTATTGAATACACTATAACAATGACATATAACAAATAAGAACTCTAAGATGAATTGTTGTTTTTCCATTGTGTTTCTTCTGGTCTTCTCCCTTCTGGGTAGTAATTTATAATACTTTTTAATTCCTTCCATGATTTCAAATGCTTTCGATTTTTTCCCCCCTGTGGGAGGGTCCTTTTGTGCTCATGTCCTGCTTGTGGGCTTCCCATAGGCATGTTGCTGGCCGTGGCAGGAGCTTACAATGCTGGACTGCATCATCCTTTTATTTGATCCAATGTAGCTTGGATGTTCTCATCTTGCACATCTCGAATTCTTCATCTTAAAGTGTTTATGTTTTAAGTACTGTAAGTCACAGGATAACTTACTTCTGGCATAACACCTGTGGCATCCATGATGACCGTTAAGGTCAGGGTGGTTTTGTTTGTTTGTTTGTTTTTTCTGCAAGGGTTGTAAATGTACAATACACTGGATGTGTTTAAGAAAGGTAAATATATACTATTTGTATTAGAAAATAGCCTCAGTCTATTTCACAGTCAGTCTGTATTTCTCTTTGTTTAATAGCCTATGGCATAAATTGAAGTTAATTATCGGAGCTGACAAGTAACTCTGTTTTCTGTCTGCTCTCAGAGTCTCTCCCAGGCAAAGATGGAGCTGAGAAGAAAAGATCAATCTCTGCATCAGCTCAATAGACATCTTACCCAGCTGGAGCAGGACAAGCGTCGACTGGAAGTGAGCATCCGTGATGCAGAGAGTGCCCTCCGCATGGCAGCAAAGTGAGCACTGGGGCCTTGGGGAGATCACTTGAAACAGACAAAAGATCAATTCTTACTTTCATGCAAAGGGTTTTAGTCCTGGATAATGCAGTGCTTGAAAACAAAAGTACAGCTGCCTCCCTTTGAAATGTTAGTGAAAGATCCTCTTAAAGAAAGCGAACTTAGTTCAACATACTAATGGCCCATTTCAATCATCTTGGAGTCCACGGAGGGGCAGGCTTTAGCACAAGCAGCACACCTTCTCCTACTGTGTAGGTGCTTGAGCTCCTAGCTAACAGGCTCAGGTTGAGCGAGCCCTTCCTAGAAAAATGTCCTTGATAGAGTACAGGTGGTAGATTAGGGCAGGAGATAGCTAAGCAGATTTCACTGCAAACATATTACAGATTTCCAAAAGCAGGGAAATAAAGTACAACAAAAGTGTAGTCATACGTGTCTGTGCAGAGCTTGGAAAGGTTACTCTTTTGGACTATAATGCCCAGAGTGCTTCATCTATGCTCATATTCTCACCTCCTCTCTGAAGTGATCAGCTGTGGGGAGAGGCAGGGAAACACCAGCGGGACTATGTCTGTGATTGGCACCACAACGCCACTAGTGCCAGGCACATGCATGCAGAGGAATCCAGTAAGTGCAATGGGCTGGTACGGTGGGTGGGGAAGGACCACCTGGACACCAATGCCAGCAGGCTTCGTATTTGTATCCCTAGGGAAACAAATATGAAGCTTCTCTGTCTAATATTGACCAATAGCTAAGAATGGTAGGAGAGGGGAAAAGCACAGAAGCAAAAATACTTGACACCACGTTGCCTTGCTAAAATCAATAGCAATAGGTCCTGGATGTAGACAATGTCACTTGTGCACCAATACATACAGCATCTGTCTTATGTCAATCTGTGTGACCTTCTCCATCCCGTCCTCTATGTAGTGCTGCATCAACCCAGACTGCATATGCAGAGGGGGAAATGACGACAACACTTTTCATGCCTCCACCTGCTGGCACATAGACAAACTTAACCTATGCATTGTCAGGTGCCCTCCCCAGAGCACAAGATTGCTTCAAGCCCATGTAGAGAGGAATAGACAGAATGTCATTTGCCTTTACAACATATAGCAGAGGAAACAAAGTTAACGAATTCCAAAGGTGAAATGTGGTGTTGTTCCATAGCTGTGAATTGTAGGCTGTACACAGAAGAAAGTGACTGTGGACACACAAAACATGCAATATGACAGAGAAAGAAGAAGAAGAAGATGAGTATCCTCCAAAAGCTTTCTAGGGATAGCTGTGCTTCTATTTCCTTACTAAATTTAAGTATTGTCATTTCCTCCAGGTAGCTGAGAATGGTTTTACAAGCATTTATTCCGGGTTTTTATTTTAATTTTTTAATTTTTATTATTTGGCATAACTCCCTGTGACAGATGGGATTGGGGGATAGCAACTGGCCAAAGATTTCTAGGAATGGCTGAATACTCTCCCTGATTGCCCTGAAAATCTTGAGAATGTCCCTTACAGCAGGGGTTCCTAGCCTCCGGTCCGCAGCCTGCTACTGGTCCATAGCCTTCGCAGGACCAGGCCATGAAGACAGATCTCCTGCCCCTGCGTGCAGAGGCCCGCCCACCCACACACATGGGTGCCCCGCCCACCCGCATGTGCGCGAGTGCACCCTGCTCACCCATGAACCTGCCACTCCTTGTGCAGGAACACGAGCGTGCCACACCCACCCGTGCAGGCATATGAGTGCACCATGCCTACCCACATGAATGCACCACACCCACTTGCAAGCTGGGGGGTGCCCTGCCCCCTGTGCATGGACCCCATGTCCTCAGCCGGTCTGCGGTTCAGAAAAGGTTGGGGACCACTGCCTTACAGGATCTCAAAAAGGGTTATAAATATTTTCAATGAATATTTCTAAGCAATGTGATCACTTCCATCAACCACTAGTTCCTTTCTCTGTTTATGAAGAAAACTCACAACTAGAGGCAGAGGTAAATCTTAGTGCAATCCTCCCTGCTCACAAGATTGTGGAGGATTACAGGGCCCAGTATCCTGCAGCCAGCGGACACAGATGCTGTGCTAGCTAGGGGATTCTGATAGTTGTCATGCAACAAAACAATGTTTCCAAGTTTTGTTGTTGACAGATTAAGAAGCCACTCTGTATGCCTTCCTGACAAGAGACTATGAACTGCAATCATAGTTGAGGGCTCTGTTTTCAGAATCATTGTGGGATTGTTAATACTTGTTTATCCTTGGGAATGATATAGGATCTGGAGATAGGATGGCCTGTCCTCTCCACTATTGATGTCCCGTTCTTGAAACAGTCAAGGTTTTTCAAATGTTGATTGCAAACGGCATGCTGGCTTGGGTTTTTGTGGGTGCAGTGATCCAAAAAGTCACTTTTCTGAACTCTGTGCTGCTTCTGTACAACTGTGTCAGGGAAGCTGGGGTGTCCTAGTTACTTAAAGTTTTCTGCTAGTTTGGCACTTCTCTGTCTGTGTGTTCTCTACTGCTGTGGCAGTACTGGAATTTTATTTTCTCTCCTCAGTGTGTTTTTTCCTATTGGTTTGATTCAAAACTTCCCTCAGCCAGAGTAAAGAAATACTTAGAAGTTTGTTAACAAATCCCAGAAAAACTCAAAACCCATTTAATATTGTCCAGTGTGGCATCCAAGTATTAGCTACCACAGCAGAAATATGCAAACATTTATTCATCAAACAGGCATCTACCAGAAGCACCATATACTTCACCTTAAGTTAGCTGAAGAATAAATGAAATTGCATTGAAGTTCTTCAAGGAAAACAAATCTAATGTGGTTGGTAGAGCTAACGTATTGATACAGCACTAGAGATGGGGGTATTCGTATACGAATACGACTATCCCTGCACAGGTGGAAATAACAAGGGTCTAGCTCATGGGGTTAGACTGTCACTTACAATTTCACCGCTGCTGCCGGCTCCACAGCGGCTTCCTGTTGTGCTGTTCTCCGCAATGAATTAGCCACTCTCCGACCTAGCAGAGAGGCTTGTCATCCCACCTCCCGCCAGGACTGGCTAATCGACTGCGGACAGCGGCGCAATAGGAAGGCACTGCGGAGAGTCTGGCCCCCTCGTTATTTCCACCTGTGTGGGGATATTCGTATACAAATACGAATACCTCCATCTCTATACAGCGCTAATAGTGAGTGCAAACATGAAAACTAATCTCTATTGTGGGCCCTTTCCCCCTTCATTCAACAGAGACAAAGAATTAATTGCCAGTCAGATGAAATCTGTGGAATCTACCCTGCAGAATGTAAGTAATATTCTTACCATGCTCTCCACTGCCACACTTTCAAAATGACTTTTCCTCTTGAATGCTGTAGTAAGTTTCAAAATAACCTGTAATATCTGTGACATTAATATCAAAATATCTGTTTAAAATATGCACAATTTTCTATATGGAAAATAATTTAATTGTGGAAACACTAATATGCTTTTGCTAACAATACAGTGGCTAAAATCCTCGTCCATAACATCATCAGTTTCAGTGGTTTCTTGGAAATAAAACATTTCCATTAGCCATCCACATCACTATCAATGATCTGAGGAATACATCAGTAACATCTCGGTTTCTAAACTAAAGCTAGTCATTAATTGAGTGACCCTCAGCAAATAGATTTTTCCCTTTATTTCAACCATAAGGCAGTTTCTTTAAAGAAAAAAAAATGCCCCTAGTGGGACTGAAAATATCACAATGTAATCAGAAGCTCAGAGTGAACTATTGTTGGAAATTTTCTCTTCTTTCTCTGTTGCTCTCTCTTTTACTATGCATTAATCTTGTTTTTAATTCATTCTAATGGTTTTTAATATTTCAAATATTTTTATTGCTTGAACATTTTTATCTCCTGCTTTTTGTGTGTGTTTGTTTTTAAGTTTTAAGGGGTTAGAAATATTTTTCGTTAATTTCTCTTTTTTTTATTAGAAACATTCTTGAATCCCCAGGAAGAAAGGTGGGCTATAAATGCTTTAAAATAAAAAAGTGTGCATGTGTGCATGTGTGTTCTTCCCTTTTCTGTATTTGATGGATTGTATTTTAAATTACTTATCAGAGCAGACACAGAATATGTGATGCAGTTTCTTCTGTAAAATAGATAAAATAAATATTATATATGGTTGTTGCTTTCTTGTGAGCAGTCTAGAAAATCAAGCTAGAAAGGTAACTGCTAGTCTAAAATATTAATGCATGCTATGCGCTTGCCTTTTTTTTTAATGACAGTGGGAGAGCACTGCCACATAAATTTAGAGAGAGAAGAGTTTGCTTGTAAGATCTTCTTCTGCGAAAATAGGCCTGTATTTGCTGCAATAGTATTTAGACATGGTACTCATGTTCTACGCACAAAATTAACATGCCTTGTTTACAGTCTGGGGTCTTAATAAAGATGATAGCAGGGTTTTCTTTCTTCCTGTGTATATTAGAAATTAGACAATCAGCCAATTGGAAAAGACACACAAGCATTTATTTATTTATTTATTATCCAAGTTTTCAGTTGGTTTTTAAAAATGCCAAGCGAAGGGGCCACACAAATCTCCGGACGAAGGTTATTCCAGAGGCGAGGAGCTACCGCCAAGAAGCCCCTTTTCTTGTTTTTTCCTTCCAGGCCTCCCTTGGCCTCAGGCTCCTCAGCCTCACCTCCTAACTCGATCGGGTGATACGGGTAGATCGTGGTGGGAGTAGGCGTTCCGTCAAATATTGAGGCCCTAAACCGTTTAGGGCTTTATACGTAAGCATCAAAACTTTGAAGTCAATGGGAACCGAATGGGCAGCCAGTGCAGTGCGGCCAGAGTATGACAAATACGTTGGTATTTTCTCACTTTGCTAAGGAGTCTGGCCGCCACATTCTGCGCCACTTGGAGTTTCCGCATCAGCCTCAATTGTAGCTCCACGTAGAGCGAATTACAGTGGTCTAATCTTGAGATTACGAGTGCATGTACCAAGGTAGTGAGCGCCCGAACACTTGAGAAAGGGTCGCAGCTCGGCTATCCTCCGAATATGTAAAAAGGCGGTATGGACCAACGACACCACCTGAGTTTCCATGGTGAGCACCGGGTCCAGATGGATCCCCAAGCTGCGGAACCCACTCTTAGCAGTAAGGTTCACCCCACCAAATGAGAGAGTTTCCCAAACCACCTACAGTGGGGGCACCCACCCTCAGGACCTCCATCTTGTCCTGGTTCAGCCTCAGCCCATTTTCCTGCATCCATTGCAGTACAGTCTCCAGGCAGCGCTGAAGGGACAGAACGGCATCTCCTGCAGTTGGTGAAAAGGAGATGTATAGCTGGTTGTCATCAGCATACTGATGACACGATGCGCCACACCCCCTGATGACCCCACCCGGCGGCCTCATATAGATATTAAACAGCATTGGAGAGATAATTGACCCCTGTGGAATCCCTACAATTGAGACTCCATGGGGCCGAGACACTCTTCCCAAGCTGTACTCTCTGGGGACGGTTCTCCAAGAAGGAACGGAGCCAGGCGAACATCAGGCCACCAATTCCAAACTCAGAGAGCCTCCCCAGGAGGATACCATGGTCGACGGTATCAAAGGCCACCGAGATGTCGAGGAGGACCAACAGAGACATTTTACCCCTGTCAGCCTCCCTCAACAAGTCATCATACAGGACGATCAATGCCGTTTCTATACCGTGGCGCAGCCTGAAGCCCGACTGAAATGGATCCAGGGTATCTGTTTCATCAAATGAGCCTGAAGCTGATCAGCCACCACCCTCTCGACCACTTTGCTGACGAAAGAAACATTGGCGACAGGCCTATAATTGCCAATTTTGTCCGCCGCCAAATAGGTTTCTTCCATATGGGCCTAATGAGTGTCTCCTTGAGGGCAGGACTCACTGTATTCAAAAAAGGAGAGAGGTCCCGGCGGATGGCCTCCACTTCAGATTTTTTTAAATGCTGCAAATTGGTCTGGTGAAAAACTAGGGGGAGGCCCATCACACAGACCAATTCCGGATAGGTCGCGCACTATATACTGTAGAATAATTCCGCCTGCTGATTTGAAGCTTTGCTTATCCGGTTAGCAAAGTATACATGACTGGCAGCCTTTACCTTAGTCAGGTAAAGGTTAGTTGCGACCCTGACAGCTATCCAATTATATAATCCGTCGGGTTCTTCCTCCACTTGCGCTCTAGCCTTCTCCTAAGCTGTTTCATCGCTCGAGGGTCCTGGTTAAACCAGGGTGCTGGCCGACCTCTGCGTTGGAGAGGGTGTTTAGGCACGATCGTGTCTACAGCTCTGGTGGCAGCAGTAAACCAGCCATCAACCAGAGCCTTAACAGGAGTGCTATCCAGGTCAACCGTAATACCTCTCATTGCATTCTGGAATCCTGCTGGATCCAGTAGCCTTCGAGGGCGGACCATAGAAATAGATCCGTGCTCCCTGCAAGGGGGAATAGCCACAGAGATGTTACATTTATTAGGGGGTGATCTGACCATGACAAGGGGACCGACACAAGGTCAGTCACCATCAGACCACACTCCCTCCAATTAATTGAAAAAACAGGTCTAGTATATGACCACCCACGTGAGTGGGGCCTTTAACATGTTGGGACATGTTCAAGGAAGCCATGGTTTCCAAGAACTCAAGAGCTGGCCCAGAAATCTCTGCCTCCGCGTGAACGTTGAAATCACCCAGAACCAACGGCTCTGGGGATCTCAACAATGCCGCGGAGACAAAGTCCACCAGCTCCGGTAGGGAAATGGCTGAGTCGCGGGGAGCACAGTAACCCAGCAAGATCCCAATACCTTCCCTAGCCCCTATCGACACGTGGAGAGCATTGCTGAATTAATCTGAAAATGGTCCTTGTTTTGGAAAACTATTGTTTTGGTTATGGGGCTAGAAACAAATTTATGGTCCAATGGTTGCCTCCATAAGTTCTTAAACTAGAACTTCTCTAATTTTTAAATTGGGAGGCCCGAGTGGGACTGTTTGGAAGTTTAAGGATGCCGGTAGCCCCATTTTGGTCCCTGGGGTCTGCATACAGAATAAAACATATTACTTTGGCAAAAATCCGGTTGCTCAATGGACACTGAGGGATTTGGTGAGTCAACCCATCCATAAGTTCCATTGATTCAAATAGCCCTACCCCAGTTTTAACTTACTTTAGCATAGCAAGATGCAGTTAGAGTAGGTCCATTTGAATCAGTGGATCTTATGAAGGCGTTAACTCACTAGTTTCTTATTGATTCATTTGGCCTATTCTAGTGTGATTTAGTATGCTAAGCAACAGGATTTTGGCAAAAATAATATATTTTAACTTCTGCACGAGCCCCCAGGGGCTCAAAGGTGGCTGCCAGCACCCTTGAGTTTCCAAACGCTTCCACTCCCTCCTCCCCAAGATTTGTTTTTAATTTTTTGGATATGAAATAAGGTCAGTAAGTCCCTTTTTATCTTCTAAGGGGTGTGTGGGCAAAATTTGCCATGTTTTGACAGCTCCCACCACAAACTTAATTAAAAAAATTTACACACATATATTGGTCCTAGTTGATTTCAGTAGTCCATGAAATATTTGTGAATTTCGTTGTATGGGTATACTGTGTATATACTTACAATGTATCCGATCCGGTATCTGATCAAGAGTTTGCTTTTCCACTGTGCCTCCTGGAAGCAGAAACAGCCTCCCTTGGGCAACTTGCCCCAGAAGAAGGGAATGGTAAACCACTTCCGGAGACTCGCTACCTAGAAAACTTTGAAAAGTTATTTGATGACACATTATTATTATTATTATTATTATTATTATTATTATTATTATTATTATTATTATTATTATTATTATTAATGCAATGGGAGAGATCATTGTCGGAGTGGGTGTGTCCTTCTCCTGACTAGATATTGCCCACACCTGTTTCTTAAATAGTCAACTGAAGGGGAGCTTTTTAAAAGTTTCATTTTAGCTCCCTTCCCTTCTTCTTTGCTTCTGACCCTGCATTTCTTCATGTCTTTCTCCCCTGCCTAGAATTTCAGTTTACCGTTGACTCATTTTTTCCTTTGGGCAGGAAATAAAACTGTGCACCTGGAGACAGCTTGAATGAGTTTTCTTTGATTATATGTCACTAGTATCTGGATGGTGGGAGAAGGTTTCTTAGGGACCCAGGAGTTGGGCCTCCAAGAGACACATATCCTATACTTTTGCCAAAGGTTGAGCCTGGCTACACATCACAGTCATCACATCCATCACATAAAAAGTGGGCTCTGGTGGTTGAATCTAAGGACTCATTCTTGATAGAGAGAGATAAGGA